GACCCAACATTGGGTTGAAACAACCCAGCATTTTTTAGAGTGTGAAAATAAATTAATACATTTGCAACTATTTGCACAATATGCTAAATTAATTGATTAAATATAGTTTATTTTTGCTTCTCGACATAATAGGCTAATAAATCAATACATGTGTGTGTGTGTGTGTGTGTGTTTATTTGTTAATTTACTTTCATGTTTGTTTTGAGTATTAAATAAGGAACTTTAACATAAACTGTTGTTTTCTATTGAACGTGCAAATTATGCCATATAGTGTGTTTATGTAAAATTTTTGACATTGTGGGGACCGGCCCGCGGGGAAAAAATTATTAAAAATAGTAAATGATGTTTATCTGAAAGTGTAAATGCAAACAGGTTTTCTGTAAGGGGTAGGTTTAGGGTTAGGATTGGGTTAGGGATAAAAAATATCGTTTGGTCAGAATAAAAGTAATAGAAGTCTATGGAAAGTCCCCATAATTCACAGAAACATACGTGTGCGTGTGTGTGTGTGTGTGTGTGTAGCCGAAGCAAAAATAAAACGACATTCAAAACAATTACGTTTACATATCGTTTATGGGAAATATAATTAGTTTTTGCGGTGTGATATTGCGGTGTGATATTTAATTATAATTATAAGTTATAATTTAATTTAATTATAATTATAAGTGCGTCATTTGATATTGATAGGTATAAGGCGCGAATTTCAATTTCAGAACCCAAAAAGTTACTCGTTTGGATTTAATATCCTATATGAATTAATTCAATTAATATCCTATAGATATCCTATAGAAGTTCATTTTTAAAAAGTTCACCTCATATAAAAGTATTGTAAAAGTCACACGCTGGCAAGCATGTCGGCTGGGAATACAGTATACAGAGATGAAAAAGACACCGTGCAAATTACGCATGGGAGTGTCTCTGAATTCAACTTTTGTTCCTTTCTAAAAACTCGCCACTTTCTCTAACTCTCTTATTCGTTTTCATTCTGCAATGCAATGCAATCTTTTCTGTTCTGTTAGTAAGTGCTAGAAAGATCCAAATTCGAGCCTATTCTAAGAAGCAGATGACGTTATTTGACAGGGTGCCCAAAATCCTTAATGAGTAACTTAGCAAGAGGAGAAGGCAAATGCTGCCCCAGCTGTTTCCTGTTGAAAATGTCTCTGTAATGTAGATAAATGTGAGGGATTTTCTCTCCAAATCCGTCTCCTGTTAGCTAAATCTCACTTCTCCGCAACGAGCCTGCGCAATGGAACAAAGTCGGAATATTGAGATGTGACATTGCCCGCATCTCATCCTCTTTCTCGCTTTTTAATGACTTCAAACAAGTTCATTTTTGCTGGGCTTTTGCTGGAGACCCAAGGGGATGTCTAGCGGTCATTTCTTCCAGGGGCATTGGTGTGATGTCTTTAAGGTAACTTAACCTATTTCCTTTCAAAGCAAATAGGCACCTTGGACTAACCATTATTGATTTCTGACTGAAGCAATAGTCTTATAACATAGATCATATAGGGACTGAATGATATTTTAAAGACAATTTGCACTCAATTGTAAAATCATTTTAATCAATGATCAATCTGCATCTTTGCGCAGTTTGCATGACATTAGACTGTGCATGCAAAAGTATTTCACATTAAAGATCTGACAGCTGTAATATGGCAAACTTTTCAAACTTACGACAGATTGCATGATGTGCATGGTGAGTCATATCATGATGCACCAGGGGGTTCATTTGCGCAGTGCACAAGTCACCAACTTGTATATCACGACCCTTAAAAGTAAATATTGCTGAGTCGACACGAATAAGGGCTCGGGCAGAAGGTTTTGCAGCATACTAGTGCGTTGTGTGATTGCGCATTATATTCTCTTTATTATGTAAAGTGCTTCCTCTTTGGGTTTGGCGGCTTTGCAGCTTTCCAGTTCCACCTCACGTATCTGTAGGTGAACCACAATGTTTTATCCAAGCAACCCAAAAAAATGCATGGTTTACAAAAGCGCTCTTCTTTTACCGGACACTGGGTTCAAGCAGCAGTATCCTATTGGCACGGGGGAGTACTAGGCGCTTCAAAGCGCGCTGGAGACATTTCCGCGCGAATTTGTGGAGAAGTGCCTCGAAATAACGCGCTCTGGTTTAGCGAGATTGCGTGCATGGAGAGGTAGGACACTTGACTTGTAAAGCCACCACAGAAACGGAGTTATACATCTGAATGGGAGTAAATGATCAGGTAAATGTACGCGCGCAAAAGACAGGTGCATTGAACAGTTCAACTTTTGTTAGCATTTTATCGTTTTTTTGTCATTCTTTTTATGTGCAACGTGTAGAAGATGTTTTTAGAAGTATCCTCAATATCCAGGCACCTGTCAAACATCTGCAGGCTGTTTGATATTCAAAATATGTTAGAAACATGAATGATAAGTAGCATCTGTGCAGACAGACAGACAGACAGACAGATAGATAGATAGATAGGAAAACACAAGGAAAGAAGGAATAATACAAGTAAGAAATCAATCAATAAATAAATAAAGATGCACATTATCCTTAGTTATGTTTCAGTGCATAGATGTAATGTATTTCTGGTTTCCCTCTCTCTGGGATGCAGTGTACCATGCGCTGTCTCTCGTGCACCCACACCCTCTCACTGGTGCTGTGCGTCCTCGCGTTGACTCCCGCGACACTGGAGGCGGGGCCGGAGACGCTGTGCGGGGCGGAGCTTGTAGACACGCTGCAGTTTGTGTGTGGAGACAGGGGCTTTTATTTCAGTAAGTGCACATTTTATTATTCATCAACTGCTGCTTTTTCTCTTCCTCTCTCTTTCTCTCTTCCTCTCTTTCTCTTTCCCCATGCACTTATGCACCACTCATAAATAAGAAAAGCATCAGTTTTCATGTCTTGCTGTCCAATTTTCCAAAATTTTCCCTCCGTTCTCCTTTTGCTCTATTTGTCTCAGTTATACTGGATAGAAAGTTTACAATCTAAGTAATCTACTGATGCCAAACACTACTTACTTGTCAATGCATGTTTTTAGACATATTATGCATGATTCACCAGTGCATGTTATTCCAAATATAAATCTTTAAATGCTTTTATCAAAACACTGTATATATGAATTTGCTTCGAAAATGACTTTACTTATTCACAAATCCCTCACTTTTCAAACCGTCCGTTAAACCACAGTGGTCCATTCTGGTACCCACTTTTCATGATCCAATCACTTTTCAAAGGCCAAAAAAATGCCTGAAAATATGTCATCATGGAAGTGAAATAGGTTGTGAATTCCACTTCACTTTAGATTATTGTAAGGTGAGCACTTGCAATGCCGAAGAGGCAGCTGAAAAAAAATGCTGTGACTGATGCTTGTGTATTACATTTAAAGAAGATCAGCCAGCTGCTTTGCTCCCAGAATGAGGTTGCTGGAATTTGGCAGACACGAGTAGGCAGGGCAAATAAATGTAATGCACATCCAACTGAATACGGGGGACTACCCAAAGAAACCCATTTTGAATCCTAGACTTAAATCTCTCTTTTTCCACAAGTCATGAGAACTGCTGAGTCTTGGGTTGTCCCAATCAGCAGTAGGAGAGATTCAGGAGTTCTAGACTTTGTGGACTTGCTTTTCCTATCTTGAGCATGCAGTTAATTGAAATTTATTCTGTAATGTTTATTTGTCAATTTGTCTGACAGGGTGATCTATCTGCGTACTAATAAAATAATAATATAAATCGTTTTTAATTACCTTTTTCATATTTAACGTGAAATCAGTCAATCAATCAATCAATCAATCAATTCATGAAACATTGGATTAAAGTGACCTTTCACCCAAAAATGAAAATTCTGTCATTATTTAATTACCCTCAGGTCACTTTTTTTCCATCTCATACAAAGGAAAATATTTAGCAGAATGTGCAAACTGCTCATCTCAAATAATGATTTGTACATTTAAAAAGTTTCATGCCGAATGGTTCTACCACTGACATTACTTCAGCCACATTTTAACTGCAAAATGCAGAATAGCATATGAATTCCAAACAACATGGGTGAGATTTTTAAGTGAACTGTACCTTTAAGGCCAGGTAGTTTGAAAACTCAAACTGCATAACTATTTTGCAATGTCTACTAAGAAGTAACTAGATCAAAAAGTTTCTAATCTTAGACTATTCGTAATTTCCTGAAAAATCAATTGTCCTGTCTATAACATTTAATTTCAGTGTACCAAATGAGACTAGTTACATCACCATGTGCAGCTATGATGTTTTAAACCTTTGCACATATATTGTTATCTGTTTGAATTACCCGATGAAATATTTACGATGTGCAAATGGCTCAAGGAAGCATGAGAGTCTCGGGCCACTGATGATGATGTATGAAGCGATTATTTTGACAAGTGGACAGAACCCACTGATTCTGTGGAGACACATTTTATTCACTTACTTTAAAGCGAAGCGAGATTGAACTTCAAGTTAGAGTTGACATTTGAAGTTTCCAGTCAACAACATTTGAGCTTTTAGTGGTCACAAAGGAGCTGGCTGGATCGCTCATGGCTGTCAATGGCCATGTGTTTGTTTTGTCAGTTCAGAGCCCAAAATAAATATGTTTATGCTAATCTGAATTTTCCTTGAAATTATTGCATCAGCATGACAGATTCAGTGAAGTGCAAATAGATGATTTTATACAGATCATTTGACTTTGATCTAGTATGTAGAATAAAACCTAAAAGAATTTCTTACAGTATGAACCCCAACAACCCCATCTTTTTAAATCTTATTATACTGTATATCATTATTAATATTATTTTGTTGTTGTTATTCTAAACCTGTGTTTTTGTTGTTTTTGTTTGTTTTGCTTTACAAAAAAACCTGTTTTTGTTGTTTTTGTTGTTTTTTTCTGTTGTTCTAAACCGTTTTTGTTTTTTCTAAACTTGTTTTGTTTTGCTTTGTTTTGTTTTGTTTGTTTGTTTTGTTTAACTCCAAAGAATTATTGTCACTTCTATAAAGAAAACAACTTTGATGGACTGTCCTCAAACACATGAATCCAATAATAAATAAACTGGATTCATATATGTGACAATTAGCATTGTGTTCAGTGACAGCTGCAATGCAGCCCATCTCGCCAGTGCCCTTACTGCCAGTGGAACTCCACTCACATTTCAAAACTTCAGATTTCATTATCTTGATAGAATGGCCTACGACTCGGAAAATACTACCCGGTGGAAATTTTTTATTGAAACAAAATGTGGCTTTTTGAAGACACAGTGAAGAGGACAACAGAAGAAGAAGAAACTGACAGTGCATTCATTTTATTTCCAATTGTTAGCCTGACCTAGAAATCCTCGGTTGTCTTTGAAATGCCTCAGTGTCAGCCTTATCCCACATTGTCTTGGGTTATTGGAAAGGAAAGGGTCGCCGAAACGATTGATGCAGATCTAGAGCACATCATTCGTTTTTTGTTTTTTTTTGTTTACAAAGAACACCTCGTGGCCAGGAGTGTTTGGTGTTGATACAAAGCTGCCCTTTCCCTCCATGGTTGTGTAGTCTTTTCCAGCAAAGCACCTCTGCCAACAGGCTGAACGTGCACCTTGTGATGCATTCCCATTCCCCAGACACAAACATATTGGGAATGCGGAAGGTTTTGGCTCAGTATGCGCTGTAAAATCACAATTTGTCCAGAGGTGGATGCAAGTCTCCTCTCACACATTTGGAAGGACCTCTAATGATCTGGCACTTCAGGATGACAGGTGAACTGCAGCCTCATTCAGAATTACGTGAATCCTGAAAGGAATTATGTTGCATTCGAGTCATGTCTGGATATGCTTTACTTTCAAGTGATTTTGGTCAGAATAAAATGCACTTTATGGACTATTTCATATATCTTTTTCACTTCCTGACAAAACAGGAAGCATTTTAGTGCAAATGCAAGACAAATAAGAGCAAATAATGCACATTAGGTATGTAATTGTTGCTTTTAGCTATGTATTTTATCACTCTTGTGCTGCCATGGAGAATTATAGGAAATATAGTTTGGATGCACAAGCTTGTGGCCTAATAAAGCAGCTGAATAAATAGCATTTCTGGCCAGCTTTATTGCTATTCTTCATCAACAGAACACAAAATGTCTGTAAAGTAAATTGTACCACCAACATTTATAATTACGACATGTATGATCAGTACCAAATAATTTTTGTTCAGCTCAACTTAGAAAGTCTGGCCAATCACAACTCTATCATGGTGTTCATATGCCGTCAGCATGCAAATATATACTTCCAACATTACTAAGTAGTATTATTAATCAATCGGTGATGAAAAGATTGCAGGTCATCTCCTCTCAATAGCAAAGACCGCAAAACAGAATGGAAGTTCTGTCACAAACATCACTGATACGACCACTTTTCAATTCCGTTTGTCTGGTTTCATTATGTTTGAAGCAGCTGGAGAGAAGAACGCATCAACAGCCCACAATCAGGCTTGGCTCTTGTCCTAGAGCAGCACCGGATTATGGGGGATTACAGGATGATCAGGATGCCCCCTGCCCCCTCCCGTCTCGTTGTTCTGCTGGACACAAACACGTTGCAGAGGGCACTGGGTATTCTGGGTTCAACACTTTTCTAGTGAGAAGAAGGTGTTTTTTTTTAACCACCTAGTTAGGCCTAATATATAAGCATTGTCTGTGTTTGAATTACAAGACACGCAGACAAAAAGACTTCTCACTAAACCCAAGCATGAACCAAGACACGTGCCTATTTGGATTTTTGAGCCAAGTGCAAAAATCAACTATCTTTTCCCATTCACATGTCTTTATTTGGTCAATTCAATTGAATTTTACCTGTAGATCATTTGCACTAAAAGGAAACTTCTGTCATCATATTCCCACCCTCCTGTTGCTTGAACCTCACATGACCTTTGTAGAAAAATTGCTATTATTTTAAAGGGGTCATGAACTGCCTCAGTTTTTATTTTGTACTGTTCTCTGAGGTCCACTTATAATGTTATCAAGATTTCTACCTCAAAAAACATAAATTAGTTATTTTTCATAAATCATAAATTATTTTTTTCTGTCCTGTTTTTAACCCCCCTCATCAGAACGCTCTGTCTGAATAGGCGTGGCAGATTGTAGACTCGGAAGTAAACGCCCACTGCTATGATTGGATAGAGTTGTGTATGTTTGACCATAATAAAAAAAGTTACTCACACTTGTGTTGCGACATTGCTGTCGGATCCAATATAGTCGGCACAGCATCGTCTTTCAGTTTCACTCTTTCTGAAAATCCCATGGCGAATTGTGTCTTGTTTGTAAATGAATCTGCGGTAAAAAGAAGTGAACAAAGGACTGAGTTTTTACTGACGCGGTTTGGAACGTCATTAAAAATAAAGTTCATCCACACTTTCCTAACGTTAGGATCAGAAGGATGGCAACGCAAACACTGTTTTTCCACAACTTGGCACTGCACAGCATCTTGTTGTCTTCAGAGCCATCTTTATCATTTGGTTTCTGCGTAGACCTGTGCATTCACCTCTCTCGTAAAAACTACATGTTTGGGTGTCGGTGGGTGGGGCTAAACAGGCAGCGATGTAGAAGCAGGCATTGATCTTCTTCTGTGGAGGCGGTGCTTATCCACACTATTACAACACTCCAAAAGCTGCAGTTTTTGGCTTCAATATAAGCTGTTTTTAGACTAACAAGAAAGTTTTGAGTTCTGAAACTTACAGGATGTTTTTATAGTACAGTGACCTCGTATATGTCAAAAGATCAAGGGAATTTTGGTTTCTCATTTCATGACCCCTTTAATTCAACGTTCAATTTATAAATCATAACCTATGTAAAACTTTTAAATAGATACAATAAAAATACATAAAAGTTAAATCTATATCTATTTATATAGATAACTCTAGATATATAGATACTTTTAAATAGATAATATAAAAGCATTTTAAAAAATCTATCTATCTATCTATCTATCTATTTGTAACAGATACAAAAATATTTAAAAATTAATTTCTATTAATGTATAACAGCAAAACACCCTGGTTAAAACATTTCAAAACATTCTGACAAACAGCAAACCATTACTGGGCTGCTGACAACCTTTAAACACCACAAACAGTTCCTATTCAATCGTTAATGACCGCAAGAGCCAACATCTCTTTGCATTGTATACAGTGGCAAAAAGAGCCAGGAGACAAAAAAAAAAATATTGGAAGGAAATTGAATCTTACTATAAACTCTTTGTGGTACCATTGATAAAGAGGTAGTTTTCAGAACTATAGCAGCTTTCATAGTCTCCAGTGAACAGTAAACTTCCTGACACTATGCAGGCAGCGTATGGCAGCAGCTCCAAGAACTCCCTGTTCTTTAATAATCTGAGCATGGCTATAAAACTCAGCTTCTTTCCAGCGGTGTTCATTGGAATGTACATGTTCTGATGCATGACGATGTTTAGTTGGAAGCAAGGTGTCTACCCAAAGGTAGGCAGGCGGCACATTGATCTTAATCACTGTGATGGAGATATGTGCTTTACTCAGGTTTCACAGCTCTCTCACGATGTTGTGAATGGGTTGATGATTTTTCTGGGGGAGGGGATGGAAGACTGTCAGCTGAGCTGATAGATAATCTATCCCACAATGCAACAATCTTCAATAAATGCATGACCTAATCTGTGGACAATTTATATGGATAATGAAAAACACAAAAGTCTGTTACTAATCTGCTTGTTTTACTGATAAAAAGAACAAAAAATGAAAACAGGCCTGCGGAACAGTGTTGGTTCATAGATGATCTAACAATAATACCTTATTTTAGGATTACCTACTTTGACCTCTTAAAATTCAGCACTTCAAATCTCTGAAAAGCCATTTAAACCGATTATACTGCATTATAAGATGTGCTTTTGTTGTATATTGCACCTCTTGGGCCACCACTCAATGGATTTCATGAAATTCATAAGAGCTATTTTGACAAAAACAGCAGATGTTAATTTTGGAATTATTTAAGAAATTATTTTTTGTAGAAACGGATTAGAAAATCATCCAGAAAACAATCTGACCGGTGTAAGAAAAAGTGAAGACGTTGAAGATCTTGATGAAGAATAACTTTTATTACAGAATAGTAGTGACAAAGTACATGTAGTACCTTGGGTTCAACGGAGTCAGACTGAACCCCGAACATCCTAAGCTCAATCATTTTATACAGTATTACGTTCATCTTCCCGCTCAACCTGTAAATTAAGTTTCGTTTTAAATGTAAATTGCGGATGACAATGAAAGTGATAGCCTTCCGTTCCCACATCTTCGGTAGACTCAAGTGGGAACAACCAAATGTTAAGGTGATAAGATTAAACAGAATCCATAGCAGTTATTTCATGTACCCTTTTGGTCAGCAGATGGTTCTTGACGACCTGCTGCTTCTCCCACGCTATAAGTGACAAATTATCGCTCCGGAGGTACTATTTACATATGATTAAGATCGGAAAGAACTATCTATATGATAATTAAGCTCTTTGTAGCGAAAGGAGCATAGTTTAATACACAATTTGGAGTGGAAGCTGGGTCGAGGCAGACTATAATTTCTTACACCGGCTTGTAACAACCTGACTGACCGGTTTACCGCAAGATAATTCTTGTTTTTTGTGTCACTTGAACTGCGATTATATGGCAAATACAAATAGACCCCTGATTCAGAGAGGAACATTTGATATTTTTAGTTATTTTTAGCATTTACTATAGATGGCTTTAGACATTAAATAAAAGCCACAAAACTCTAAATGAACTAAATCTTTGAGCATATAAGGACACTGTTTCAATGAGGCAACTTCAGGCCATCAAAAGTGTCCAAAATGAGTGTCAACACAATTCTACCGTTACAGTGTCCTACTTAAAACTCTCAAAACGACTCAACTTTATTGAAAGATAACAGCGCCCCCTAATCTCCCAGAAGTGTTCGGCACCCAAGAGCCATGCAGTCTGCAGGGGTGCATGTTTGTCAGAATTAGAGCACCTCTCTTTCCAAAACAACGCTGTCAGAGTGCAGCAAGTGCAAGGCAGAAGTTAATGCATTTTGTCAGCACTGGCAGCCCTGCGAGCCAAGAGCTATTAACTCTGAAAGGGAAAGGCATTTCCTCCTTGTAAATGCCATATTAAATTATTATTGTTATTTCATTTGGTAACAGGGAGAAGCCTATTGGAGCTATATTGCTCTAGGTGAGTGGCGACTTGTAAATGGAGAGTGGGATATTTTTTAAGGCCACCGGGAGATTGGCGACATGGAGAAAGAAACATTAACTTAGTCAGGTGTCTAAGTGCTACCTTCAACATGAATCCGTTTGGGATCAGAAAACCCAAATCCTGAATTCTACATGTTTAAGTAGTCCAACCTCATCGTTAAACATTATGTCTAGGACATAATAGTGCATTGATCTCATTGACAGCACACAAAATATATACACATGAGGCAGTTTCATGTTCTTTCACATGGGTAATTATCACCTAGTTTAGCAGCGGCATTAACAAGCACTCTGGGAAAAGTTCACGGTTCATCCTGGTCTTCTAGGAACATCATTCTTCTCAACAGAGCAGATGGTTTTTCTCCATAGGTTAATTTGACCCTGACAAGGGCCGGATTGTGCCTCCCAAACCAGCAGTCAAGTTTAAAGATATCAGGTTTGAAACTGCAAAACGTGATATTCTCAACATTTTGGTCAGTGTGACCTCCATTTAACTGGGGGGCTTGCCAAGAAGGGTCCGCTCTGTGCAAAGCAATACCCTGTAAATTTCACGCTGAAGAAATTCATGTCATTAATGCGCCCATATATCTGAAGAATCACAGATACGGTCTGGCTGCTACGCTAAGCTATTATAGCGCTCATGACTGGGCTTTTAGCCACAGGTTACTACCAAAAGTTTTAGAGATTTAGCATTTCAGAGCATGACCTTACAGGCTGTAATTGTTCTTCATGAGCTGGTGCCATGCCAAGAATAAAATGGATAAAGGGCTTGAGCTCAATGTGATGACAGGCTTTATTTAACGTACCTACGGACAAAATTTGAGCATGCTATTAAGTGCTGGCCTTCCCCCACAGCAGAGATTTAGGAGCGCTTTCACTTTTCATATGCGTATCTTGCCCTCCAAAAGGTTATTTATGAATGTTATTTCTATGCATCCAACAGGCAAACCGACAGGATATGGGCCTAGTTCGAGACGGTCGCACAATCGCGGCATCGTGGATGAATGCTGCTTTCAGAGTTGTGAGCTGAGGCGTCTGGAGATGTACTGTGCGCCCGTAAAGCCCGGCAAAACTCCACGATCCCTAAGAGCGCAACGGCACACAGACAGTCCCAGGACAGCAAAGGTGTGCAGCCATGCTGATGATGTCAGAAATAACCCTTCGCTAAGCTCCGCCCTCACTCCATATATTCTTTCTATGCTTCTTGTGTCAATATTGTAAGTGCCCCAGCAACAACTTTTACCATATTTTTGATTAAAATTCTGCTTAAAACTTTCAAAACGCCCAGGATTTCTTCCAACTTGCTTTTAAAGAAAAGGCAAAAATAGATGGTGGACAGATGCTAAAGTATCACTGGTCAGTACCATTTTAAGGCAGGGCTTAGCGAAGGGTCAAATGTTTGACACAATTGTACATTTCTGTGAAGCCTTGAGATGGATAATAGTTTATGAATACATAATGGTGATTGCAGTATCAGCTGACTAATTTGGTTGACAAAATGTCATATGAACTTTATCTCCTGCAGAAACCTATATCTGGACATAGCCACTCTTCCTGTAAGGTAAGTCTTCCCTCAGTCTGAAAATAAACCATAATTAACACGATGATGCTTGAATGCTTATATAATAGCATTCAAGATTAGTGCATTTTCTGACATGGAACTTGTATTAAAGGAATAGTTCACCAACATAAAAATTCAGTCATTTACTCACCATTATGTCATTTAAAACCTGTATGACTGACTTTCTGGTAAATTTTTGAGCTCCAAAAGGACAAAAAGGACCAAAAACGTACCATAAAAGTGGTTTCCACAACTCATACTCTGTGTTAAAGGGCTTCTAAAGCTTTGTGTGAAAAACAGAACAAAATTTAAGCCATTATTTATCCATCCTAACTCTTAATATGGATGTCCAAACAAAACATTCTTTTGAGTCATATCTTCAATTAAATCCATTGATACAATTCACAATACCAGAATGATTCATTCACAAAACAGACTGATCCAGTTCTCAAGTTGAACTCATTGACTCATCCAGTGATCCAGTTGGAATGGGTAACAGCTCATTAATGGGAAAAATCAGCGAATAATGGCTTACATTTTGTTCTGTTTATAACACACAGAGTTGGAATATAGCACACAAGTTATATGGACCACTTTTAAGATATTTTCACAATCCTTTTTGAAGCTTGAAAGCTCCAGTCTGGTAAAAACCGACTGGCACATTCTTCAAAATTTCTCCTTTTGTGTTCCACTCAAGAGAGAAAGTCATATGGGCTTGAAACATACGAGTAAAAGATGACAGAATTGTCATTTTTGGGTGAGCTGTCCGTTTACCTCATCTCAGAGCTCAGCAAATAATGCTGGTACATTGTGCTGCGATACATACGTAAGGAAAAAGCAGCTCTTCCCTCACCTCCGCTGCCCAAATGTGGGCCATCCTTTTAAGTGCTCTCAGTCATCCTCTCTCGAAAAAGAAAACCATTAGCAAGTGAACAGCCTAAGTGGTTTTTGTGGTAGACCTGCATGTGCTCTCCACAGACATATTTCTGCACCCATACGTCATGCGCTGGAAGCCAAATCTAAGGTCACCTTAGATGTCTGCACACTGAGTTCAGAGTCTGGCCTCTCACACCGGCCTTTGCATGCGGTTTCATTCCCAGCTCGTGAATTACACTTATTAATCTTGCTGCAGTGAAACCTTTGATGTGTTGCTTTGACAGTAGATTTCCTCAGCATTATGAAATAACACTCCGTTCACCAAACAGCTGTGTTGTTATGGGCAGCAGCAGCCGTTCTGCTCTCCTTGGGTCGGCTTTCTGCGTTACTTCTCATCATCTAAACTGAAGCTTACTGTCTTTTCTCTTTCTTATTTTCAGGAGGTTCATCAGAAGAACTCGAGCCGAGGAAACACAGGGGGCAGAAACTATCGCATGTAGAGGACAGTAGGGCGAATGGCTGAGAGAGACAAGTGAAACTGTTGGACAGCGGAAAACGAGAGGAAAGAAAGACTGGTCTTCCAGGGACGTGCCCCACTGTAAAAAAAAACAAAAAACATAACAAAACAAACAAAAAAAACCCCCAACAAAATACTAAGAATACAATTTAAAAAACAAGATACTGGATACTGTTAAAGCCCCATGTTAAGACAAACAAAATCTGATGATTTCCATACACTGCACCATTCCATACTGGGGGAAAATACTAAATTAGTTGCTAAAAAAGTCAAATGATAACTGTTTATCTCCTCGTGTGAACGGTTGCACCTAATGGATTCCGAAAGTTTTTTTTAGTGGCAAAATATTAATGTTTTGCGGGCACAGAAAGGAGTGAGATCACGGACCGTGTTGACAAGAAAGGCTGTCTAGACCCGTTTGGAACCCTTGCAAAACCAAACTACAGCTGCACAGAGAGATGACGTATAAAATACAAATCAGTCTTTTCGTATTTGAATCATTGTGCAAGACCAGATCAAGGGGGATTATACAAAAGTCTTATGCAGATGTGCTGAGGTGCTCTAGAGAACACATTTAGGATTGATGGAACACGACCTACATCCTGCAAAACTAATTGTGTGTGAGGGATCTTTGCTTCTTTTTTTAATCATTTTAACTGCATGGTTTACCTTCTTTAGAAAATGAGAGGTGAAAGCCATTCACTCGAACAGTTATCCGCATGCATTTACACCAGTGTATCAGCACACACAGGAAAGACAGAGGGATGACAACAGAAACCACAACAGATGCAAAAAATTACTAGCAATTGTAACATATACCATTAAGAAGAATGGTATTATTTATTACCATAAATAATCTGGTTTAGCAGCTACTGTTTATCAAATAGGAAGTTGCAGGTTTGCATCTTTACAGCGAAAGACTGGTGACATGACTGCAACTCACTAGCTGTATTAAAAGGATATTTCGCCCAAAAATTTAAATTGTGTCATTTACTCATTTTTACTTTACCCCCTCATGTGTTTACTTATGACTTTTTCAGTCCATTTCTGATACTCGGTTCTGCTGGGTAAAAGGCAGTTGCGACTTTATTTTGCATAATACAGCCTTATGGCTCATATGTGACTATTTGAAACTATCACACAATTACCTTTTTATTTTATTTTTATCGCCGCAGTGTAAATGGGCTTATATAAAGGAGACATTTGTCAGTGAATAATGATTTAAATTTCTGGATTGCAGAGCACCAGTCATTTGGAATTATGTTTTATTTGCATTTACTGTCCTTTTTGAAGCTTTACAGACGTGGCCGCTATAAACTATGATTGTACAACAAATATTAGAAACAATTCTCATTCTGAAAAAGAAAAATACCAGAGCACAGGTTAATAAAAATGACATAAGATGCATAAATAATGACAGAATGTCTGTTTTTGGGTGAACTATCCCCCTACAGCCCGCTTTAGGCCGTTTTCACAGTCCCTCTGCATGGTGATTTCCTCTTTTCTGACCCCAATGGATCACGTCAACTCACACTGTTTACTCTGTATCTATACTCAACCTATATTAACCTTTGCATTCTCTAACCATAATCTTATGTGATGGCATCATATAGCGGAACCATATAAAAGATCAACCCACTGTATAATGGTGCTATTTTGTAGTTTGTTACTTGCAGGGGTTGGCTGAAAACATGAAGTTCTATGTTGGAAGTCTTCCCTTTTGCACAGCCTTGTGGCCACCATTGTAATAATATTCTTTTATTTTTTATTTTTAAGCTATTTCAATGAGGTTACAGTGTAAGCAAGCGAAAGTTTTTTTGTGAGAGCTGTGAATGCATGGAAAAAGGAAAACAAATGTGGCCCGAGATGGTTAATTGCTGTTTTTGTTCTCTCTACGGTTTTTAAATTATTATTTTTGAAACAATAACGTCCCTATGCCAAAAAACTTGACAGAGTACTGTGAACTGCAAATGTCCAACATTACCAAGATTTTGGCCATCACAAAGTAGCTTTTCATGCACACTACATTCATTTAGACATCCTGGCACTGATTCTACGACTCGTGTATTTGTAACTGGCAAAGAAATGGTGCAAAACAGTCTTCAGTGTAATACAGACACAGTTACAGTACAGTTCAACCAGTTAGTAACAGTGTAATTTGGCTAACACTATACGACTATTCAGGACCATTGTTTTTCCTTTTCACTTGCCTATGTTTTTACTTATCAATCAATATATCTGGGAAGGTTTAATAGGAAAATTGCACCAAAATTAAGTAAATTACACCATCAGTGTTATGAAGAAATTGTATATTTTAACTAGCAGGACGTTGACCATTCGAAGATAAATCATCTATAAACAAGATGATACAGATGGATAACATTTCAGAAAGGTAACTATCCATTTCTGGACCACCTAAATTTGGGTTTTAAAGTGTTTGTAATTTTGAACTGGGCAGTATGCGTTTTATATAATCTCAATCTGAATTAAGAAACAATAGAATAATGTAGAATCATATGCAATAGCCACCCAGAATGTCTATATAATGTGCACAAGTTTGATGTAATAGACTTACACAATACCAAAGACTTTGAATATTTAAGGTTTGTTGGTGTATCATGGGCAGCACTAAAGATAAAAACAGTGTGCTTATTTTGAAGTTGTTCTGTTTCCATTCAATTGAATGTATTGAATGTATATGAATTTAAGACTGCTGCGGAGATTTGCGGCATTTTGCTTGAGTTTGATTGTTGTCATCAGAACATAAATCCAGAGACAGAAACAGTATGGAAGAACACATATTAGGATTCTAGGCATTGATCATTAAAGCATTCTTTTGATTGTGAGGCTTTCATTGGGCTACTGGCGCTCAATTGCTTTCTGTACAAAATATGAAAATACTGACAGATTGTTCACCGTTC